TTAGAAAAATGTACAATATTCCATACCTGGGGGTTTTTAGGAATGCCCGATCCAATGGTGGTATTTGCAATGTTGCCAAGTTTACCGTTTTCAAGATGCCGTATGTAAGTGCCTGTAGGGGCATCCATTTAAAATCAAGTTACATACGGCATCTCATAAACGGTAAACTTGGTAACATTACAAATACCACCATTGGACCGGGCATTCCCAAAAACCCCCCAGGTAGGGAATATTGTACATTTTGCTAAAGTCTCTTCTGAAATACGAGACTGTTTCCATACATTTTAACAAAAAATCTGTGTTGCCATATTTCATAAACCAAGTACAATGGAGTTTTGGCATTTTGGGATTTTAGTAATGTTGGGACGCTGAATTAATTACAATAAAAATAAAGAGGGGCATCTATTTAAAAAATCAAGTTCCATACGGCATTTAGAAAACGATAAACTTGGCAACATTGCAAATATCACTATTGAATCGGGCATTCTCAAAAACCCCCAGGTAGGAGATATTGTAAATTTTTTTCAAGCCAGTTCTGAAATATCAGACCGTTTCCATACATAACGACAACCCTGTATATCTTGAGATGACATTGAAATACCGGCCCTTAAAAAATAATTGGAGTCCCAAATATATAAATTAATTTAATTCGTATTATACAGGGTGTTCCTAAATATGATGTACAAACAGCAAAGGGTGATTTTTTTTTATTTTTTTTTATGATTCAAATTTCAAATAAATGTTCTAAAAAACTGACTTATTTCAGCCAAATTTAAAAAAATTTACCCTCTTACATTTTAATTTTTCTAAAAAACTGGCGAAGGGAAAATTTTGAAAATTTTCCAGGAAAAGGAGAAAAATTAGAAGCTCATTTTACTAAAATTTTAAAATTTTCCAGTGAAAAATCACTCCAAGAAAAATTTAGAAAAACTAACTTTATTAAGCAAAATTAAAGAGAATTCACCCAATTATATTTTAATTTTTTTCTAGAAATCTGGCAAAGGAAAAATTGTGAAATTTTTCCAGAAAAAAGAGAAAAGTGAGGAGCTCATTATAGGAAAATTTCAAAATTTTCCAGTGGAAAATCACTCCAGGAAAAATTCTGGGAAATGACTTTTTTAGGCAAAATTCACCCTCTTAAATTTTAATTTTTTTCTGGGAAACTGGCAAAAGGAAAATTGTGAAACTGTAAATATATTATTTTTTTTTGTTTTTTTTTAATTGTGCGGTGAATGTTGGGAAACGCCTTGTTTTGACATCTGTGTCACAATTCACGATGCTACAGAAAAATAAACTCGAATTAGTGTAGCAACACTAATTTTCTTCCTATATGCGGCATTTGTAGCAACAATATGTAGTGATGTAGCAACAAATGCGATGTTGCTACATACAAAAAAAAAATTAGCAACACGAATTGAATATTTAAGAGTTTGTGGCAACAAAATTTCGTATTGCTACAGATCTTTTGATCTGTAGCAATACCCTATTTCGAAATCGCCTATATTTAGATATTGCTACAAAAAAATCCGTATTGCTACAGGCCAAAAAGTTCGAAATCGCCCGAATTTGGGTGTTGCTACAGACCAAACCCTCCGAAATCGGGTTTTGCTACAAAAATGTTCATGTTGCTACAACCTGAAAAATTCATTAACATCAAAATCTAGGAATTAAACTGGCAAATTTGGACGTTGCTACAAAAATTTCGTGTTGCTACAGAGCAAAAACCTCGAAATAGCCTATATTTGGGTGTTACTACAAAAAAATCCATGTTGCTACAGGCCAAAAAGTTCGAAATCGCTTGAATTTGGGTGTTGCTACAGACCAAAGCTCATTATAGGAAAATTTCAAAATTTTCCAGTGAAAAATCACTCCAGCAAAAATTTTGAAAAATTGAGTTTTTCAGGAAAATTCACCCTCTTACATTTCAATTTTTTTCTGGAAAATTGGCTAAGAAAAAATTTTGAAAATTTTTCAGGAATGAGAGGAGAATAAGGAGCTCATTTTACGAAAATTTCAAAATTTTCTAGTGAAAAATCACTCCAGGAAAAATTTTGAAAAACTAACTTTTTTAAGCAAAATTGAGGAGAATTCACACTCTGATATTTTAATAATAATTTTTTATTTTTTTCTGGGAAACTGACACAAGGAAAATAGTGAAAATTTTCCAGGAAAAAGAGCAAAGTAAAAAAAAAAAATCACTCCATAAAAAATTCTGGAAAATTGACTTATTTACGCAAAATTAAGGAAAATTCACCTTCTTACATTTTAACTTTTTTTTGGAAAACTGGTAGAGGGAAAACTTTGAAAATTTTCCAGTATTAAGAGGAAAGTGAGGAGCTCATTGTAGGGAAATTTCGGAATTTTCTAGTGAGAAATCACGCCAGGGAAATTTCTGGAAAATTGACTTTTTCAAGTGAAATTAATGAAAATTCATCCTCTCACATTTCAATTTTTTTCTAGAAAACTAGTAAAAGAGGAAAAAAAGGAAAGTTAGGAGCTCATTATAAGAAAATTTCAAAATTTTCCAATGGAAAATCGTTTCAGGAAAGTCAAAAGTTCTGGAAAATTGACTTTTTTAAGCAAAATTCATCCTTTCACATTTCAATTTTTTTCTAGAAAACTGACAAAGCAAAAATTGTGGAATTTTTCCAGAAGAAAGATAAAAGTGAGGACTCAATATGAGAATATTTCAAAATTTTCTAGTGAAAAATGACTCCAGAAAAAATTCTGGAAAATTGAGTTATTTAAGGAAAATTCACCTTTCACATTTAATATTTTTTTTTAGAACACTGGCAAAGGGAAAGTTTTGAACATTTTCCAGGAAAAAGAGAAAAATGAGGAGCTCATTATAGAGAAATTTCGAAATTTTTCAATGAAAAGTCATTTCAGGAAGAATTCAAAGAAAATTGACTTATTTAGGCAAAATTGAGGAAAATTCACCTCTTACATTTTAATTTTTTTCTGGAAAACTGGCAACGGTAAAATTTTGAAATTTCTACAGAATAAAGAGGAAAGTTAGGAGCTCATTAGAGGAAAATTTCAAAGTTTTCCAGTGAAAAATCACTCCAGGAGAAATTTATTTATATATTTTTGGATAACTGAATAAACTCAATTCTAAGTTAAAAAATGTATTACAAAACAATAATTTCGAAGGTGCTCTATGAATTAATCTATGACTTAACTTTTTCTCTAAGTTATGACGTCATCGATGACGTAAGTGAAAACTTTCGTGCCGTGCAACGAACTATATGTTTGTTTGAAATTTCAGACATAAAAAAACCTATTTTTCAAAAAAAAGGCAAATGATGACGTAAGTACAAACCCTCGTGAAACCAACTTTTTTTTACGCGTCTCATTTCCTTTTCATCAAATCCCATAAAAAAAAAAAATGGTGCTGCAGCACCCCTCAAATTTGAAGCCTAGTTGCGCTTATGAGGGTGTCCCATTTTGGTTGAACGTAAGGAATAACAGTTGGAAGGATGCGATTTTCGCGAACTTCGGCTACTTTTTTCTCAAACGAAAGATGGCGCCAACAGAATTGTCGTCGCTCTTTTGGTTTTTTCAGATACAAGGTGTTTCTGAAAAACTGACGAAGAAGAAGAAAAGAAGAAGAAGGTGTATCTCTATCATGTGTGTTTTTGTCATAAGAAACAATGTGTGGCATGCAGTGTTACCAACCTAAACATATGAAATCAGGAAATATGAGAATAAAATTTCCAAGAAAAATTTGTTTTTTTTAATTAAACAATACCAAAATAGAAAAAATAGTATAAAATATTCGTTTCATAAGACATTTTATCGCACGAGCCCTATATTAGAAAACGAGCCGGAGGCGAGTTTTCTAAAGGGCGAGTGCGTCTTATGAAACTTGTATTTTAATGTACTATTGCATCTGTAAGGAAAATGAGATAGGTCTCTTTCTAACACATTGTTTCTTATGACAAAAACAGTTTAAAATATTTTTTGCTGGAAAACTGTTGGAGATAAACCTGTCGAATTTTGTATCATTGAAATCAGTCAAAGCAGAGCTATCCAATGATTTTATAATACATCGGGTACATTTGAAAACACTATGTTTGGTTCGTAAATCAAAAACTATCACTTCTAGTGAAAAACTGACTACGCCACTGGAGTCTTCGTTGAAATATTTATAAGAATCCGTTTTCACCTTTTCGATCACTTATGAGAGAACCGATATACAAGGGGTGTCCCAAAATGCAACTTTTCCAAAAACATCTTGTATTTGAAAAAACCAAAAGGACGGTGACAATTCTGTTGGCGCCATCTTCTGTTTGACAAAAATGTAGCCAAAGTTCGCGAAAACCGCATCCTTCCAACTCCAATAGCAATCGAGTAATTCCTTATGTATAACCAAAATGGGACACCCTGTATACGAACCTATGGTTCGAGCACAAATAACTATTGATATTTTACTTGATTTCTGTGCCTTGACCGAATTCTCACACGAATATGATTTGGCTGATTGATTAGGATGCATATCGGATATTCACACATTGAACACCCTGTATCTCAAAAACTAGTCATAGGATTAAGTTGCGTCCATGGAAGTTATTGAACAGAAAGGTGAGATCTATAACATACTGAAATTTGGTTAAATTTGACCGCGGTCAGAAATCCCATAAGAAGTGTGATGTGTGTGTGTGTAACTGAATGCAGAACAAGGAAAATTCAACTTAGTTTAATTATTATAGGGCTTTAATAAATTAAAGCCTCCATTATATCGTGGCATAAAAACAATTCAACCAAAGATTAAATAATTATAATATTCACAAATGAAGTCCTAACTGAAAGTCTCAAGGCATGGAAATATTAAATGAAAATGTCGCTCATTTATGCTTATAACTGTACTTGGGGAAAACTTATATACCCTCGCAATTAAAACCTTAGTTGTTTCAGTTTGAACTTTTGATTTATTAAATTGTTGCCGATGTGAGAAAGTTGAAGACATTAATTTAAATAATTACAGAATGATTTATTACCTTAAACTTGATGCATAGAGTTCACACAGAAACTACACTTCAACTGAAACGAAAAACACTTGAACGAACTTTAAGAAAACAGATATTGAATTGATAAGAAAAAGGCACTTCAAGATTGTTGTAATAATGTCGATTAACGCTATATTACGCCAGTGAAAAGAAAATTAATGATTTATTTATTATTAATGGGATGCAATATAAGCACGTTTGAAAAGCTTCAAATTTCATTGCAACAAAATAAGTAAAATGTTGTCGTTGTCATAAGAATTGTGATTTATTGAATACTGATAATGCAAAAATCGGTTATCAAATGCAAATTTATGCAATATCCAGGTATTACTTGAGAAATGCTTATTTTCATATCACTTGCGGAAATGTAATGTTTTATGTAGCATTATTACTGAATAGATAGTAAGCATGAAACCATTCATCACAATTATTTATTATAGGTAGGTACCTAGTGGACTTACTTTTTCTATAATACTTTATCCTAGCACATTTTTCAAAAATTAATGATTTAGGTACAAAGAACACAAAAAAACTGCTCATTCACCTGTTACTTTTAAGGAACCAACCACTAGTTTACCTGAACTTATTTTGAATCACACCTCGACTAATGTTAATCCCTCTTGCATTTTACATTCCTTTACGAACAAGGTTGTCATACCCTGAATTTCTAATTCATTGTCAAGGGCATAATATAAGATTTTCTAGGTGGTTATACAGGGTGGTCTTTTTTCGAGATCAACCACTGAGATCGTCGAATTCAGGATTGGTACTATTCTTTACCTTCATATCTGTGAGAAAATGCTTTTTCATGTGAAGGGATGTATTTTGTCACTTTGTGTATATGAATCATTAGCTATCATGACTTGTTTGTTAGTTGGGATTGTACGAGGTTTCATCTTTGCCTTACCCTATTATTTATCCTTTTTTATTATTTTATTTTTATTTCCTTACACATATTTTTTTCTTTTACTTCTTCCACTGTGTAATACAAAGGTGCCTCTGGCGTTAATATTATTGATAAGTAAATTATTTGATGGAAACAAAGCAAGATGCAAGCTGTATTCAGGACAGGAACTATTTGTGTTTTAATGAAAATCCATTGCCGTTTTTGGTATGATGAGAATCCATTATTCATATTTATAAAAACAAAAAAGGATCAAGGTTATTGTTGGCAAAAATGAGCAGTTGTAACACGTGACAAACATTCTTAACTGAATAAATAGGAATTCAACGATGCCTAACAAAGAGAAAAAAATGTTTGTGGTTTTAGTCTAACTATCTGAGCTGACAGGCCATTGATTTGATGCACTGTTTCTATTCATTTACTTTCATTTGACCAAAACACTTATATATCTATAATTATAATAGCATTTATTTCGATATCAATTTTACTTTAAATATCTAACTAATTGGAAACAATTTTGAAAAAGTTACTTTGTAATCACCAAACAATTTACTTTATTTTCAATCAATTTAACTCACCATTATATAATTAGTAATCTGAGAGCTCAAATTCTCCTAACTCGGTATTGTATAAAAATGTGTCATTTAATAAAATTCTCGTTGAGGGGGGGGGACACTTAGTTAAGAATGTTGAGAGCTCGGAATCTGAATACCTTGCCTTCAACTATCTTCCATACAAAGGAAGGCAAGTTTGTACCTCCCTAAAGAAGCGTATTTTACAACTTCCTAAAATTAACTTATCCTAACAACATATTTTATTTAGGTGCTGAAATGTTACGAAACGTTTGTACAATCATAAACCTAAAATTAACCTAGGGGTTATAATTCTCGCCATCTGTAATATAAAACAGGCCTAGGAAGTCTTTGTCTTTGGCGGCAAGTGTACTTCCCATGGGCTGTATTTGACTTAGTTTTTAACAATTGGGGTTTCTGCAATGGAAGAAACAACTTTCGAGAAATTGATGTGAACAGGACATTGGTTATATAATAATTCTAGCCGGCATCGTCTTTGAACCCTAACAGCATAAAGTATTGTTATAATAAAACTTGGGACTTAATTACACAGATGGTGGAACTTGAGAAGAGAAAATGTAGTGAACATTAGGATTATTGATAATATAAGTAGGTAATAATGAATTCACTAGTTCACAACAATTGTTTTGAATTTAATTCATATCCTTCTTCCGTAAAAGTTCAAATAGGGATTTGCTTCCTCTCCGAGTCTCAGGTCAGGTCTCCGTGATATTTTACAGGAGGAAGCAAATCCCTATTTGAATTTTTACGGATATTAAAATGTATATTGATCTAGTAAGTTTGTAGGTCTCAGTCTTAAGGCCAGTACACACTTGTCATACACCCCGCCGATCCGCCATGCTTGTTGGCCATATATTTCCTTAAAAACAACTTATTTTTGTTCACTGAAAATTTTCACTGTCTTCAATTTCTAGCCGAAAGCTTTTAAAATTCTGTATACTTATTATAAACTTTTTCGCGTTCGCTTGAATTCCAAACTTTCTTTTGCGTAGGTATTTCAGTAACTTTTGTAAAGTGAAATATTCGTTTGAATCGTTTGAAGAATTGTATTTCCAGAGTTGACTTTGTAAGTCTGTTTTGAAATTATAATTCAAAATCCTTATCCGTCTTCTTTGGTCGGCCTTCTAAGGTTTCTTAGTATATTGTCGTCTTATCAGAATTTTATAACAGTTTTGGTCTCCACCTAGAATAAAACATAAAATATTAGATTTTATTCCCAGGCTCTAAAAGTTTGGCAAAAATAGGTAGTAGGTAAGTAGGTATAAAGATTTTTAAATAATTTCCACAAAAATATCTGAAATTTGGGCCTCAAGGAGGTTTTGGACTAATCTTAGGTTGTTATTTTCAATATAATGAGCAGATTTTCTAATCTGAGCACTTTTTTTCTATAATGTAATTATTTTTGGCTTCTTGAATATACAGGGTTGTCGTTATGTATTATGGAAACGGCCTAATATTTCAGAACGCTCTTAAGAAAAATTTAGGTACAAATTGGCTACAGGTTTCTAAAGCCTATTTTGAAATACTAGAACGTTTCCATAAATTTCAACAGAAAAACTGTGTTGCCATATATTTCACAAATAAAGGTTTGGCATATAGGGGTTTTAGTAATGTTGGCACGCTGAATTATTTATAATACAATAATAAAAAAGGACTTCTATTTAAATAATTAGATTATATTACATAGGGCATCTCAGGAACGGTAAACTTAGCAACATTGCAAATATCACCATTGAATTGGGCATTCCCAAAAACCCCCCAGGTAGGAAATATTGTACCCACATTTTCCTTTTTCTTGCCAGAAAACACAATTTTGATTAATAATGTAGCTAACGTTTTTCGGATTGAATTTTTCTGCAATGGTGAGATAGATAACTCCGGATTTATTTTGACAGTTTTTATATTGAACCACTAATTTACTAACACTAACTTTATAAGGTCGTTTTCGCTACACTGCTCCCTCTTTAAGAAATTTTATCTCGAAACGCTCCCATGTCGATACCTACAGGAGTCCCCAAATTTGCACATAGGTAGCCGTTTTATGGAAGAAGCAGTCTACTGTTTTCTGGTCCTTTCCTCGGAAACTGTAACAGGAAGCTAAGATCTCGATGCCGCTAAACCTGAAGATGACTTCCAGCATACTTCGTACAATTCTCGAATCATCGAGTCCGCAGGCTATTTTTAGAATGAAATGGAATACATAAGATCTTGCGATAACATGATATCTCTAATCTGGCCAAGAGTATGCCAAACATCACGGTAGGTCGCTTGTTGATCGAAATGAAATATTCCTTTATCACCAAATAGAACAGACGTCGTACTATTTCGGTACTTTGGAGCACCTCTCCCACCTCTGGTTCTCGTCTTTCCAGTTCTTCCAATCGACCAAATTTCTTTCTGAAAGCAGCAGCAGAAAGTCGCTTTGCCATACTAAGATCTCCGGACACACAGTGAGCTAGTGAGTATCTGGCAGTCACACTGTTCTTCTCTGACTATGCGTCAGCGTCAGAAAACGGGTGTACGTCATACCTGAACCAATGACGACGTTTACGTTGTCAGTTGTGCGTCGCGTACTATCCTAACAAACCGTACCTTAAGGTTGGTTGGGTAAGGCGTACGCTTCGGCCCACTTGCTAAAGTAGTCCATTACTACAATAAGTATTTATTTCCATTGTCAGATTTCGGATTTCGATAGCCATCCTTTCAAATGGGGAGCCTACATTGTACTGACGCATAGGTACTTTTGGGCGTTTCTGCGGTCCATCACTGGCAGCACAGGCTGCGCATTTCTTTCCATTCTTTGACATCTGCTTGGCAATTTACCTAGTAAAAACACTCTCTAAGCCTTCCAACAGTCCTTTTGACTCCAAAGCGTCCTCCCGTAACGCCATTATGGATTTCTTGCATTACTTCTGACTGTCTGCTCCTCGGTATTATGACTTGACTGCTATCTTCTGTCCCTAAAGCCTTCACGATCCTTTTTAGGATCTCGTCGCACAGTACCAAAGAATTCCACTGAACCCAGTAGGACGTAACTACCAGAGAATGACGCGCTACTTCCTGCCATGCTGATCGCCGTCCTTCATTTTTTCATTTGATGATCAAGCTTAGATCTGGATCATTTTCTGGTTCATACGAAAAAGCATTTGATTGCCAAGATTCATCGATCACCGTCGCTTCCTTTTCCTCAGCTCGGTGACAATGTTTGCAGAGTTCAGGACAGCGGGAGCATTACACAATCCAAATGGCATGACGGTAAATTGCCATAATCCAGTTCAGACAGTGAACGCAGTCTTTTCCTTATCCTCTGAAGCCATTTCCACCTGCCAATAGCCGCTTTTCAAGTCCAAAGTCGAGAAAATCTTTGATCCAGCCAAAGTGTCAAGCGTGTCATCAATACGAAGAAGTGGGTAACTATCTTATTTCGTGACGTTGCTCAGTTGGCGATAATCCACACAAAATCGGGTTGAACCATCTTTCTTATTAACTAGCACCAACGGCGACGACCATGGACTGGTAGAGGGTACGATAACTTCTTTCTCCATATCCTGGATTAGCCTTTCAGCTTCTTCTCTTTTAGCCAAGGGTAATCTTTTTGCCAATTGACGAATTGGCTGTGCATCCTCAGTGTTGATTTCATGTTGTACTACTTTTGTTTTTCCCTTTCCTCCTTGTCCAGTATCGAATACATTGCTGAACTGTCGTGATAGGTCCTTCAACTTTTCCCTTTGCTTCTTGTTTAAATACTTTGAGGATGTAGAAATCAACATTTTCATCTCATCTGTGAACTCATGGGTGGTAAACTCTGTCTCCTGAACATGCCGAACCACAGAGGAAACTGACGAGCAGTGCCCCATCATTACCATTCCTTTCTTCAAAGTCACAGAATAATAATTCTCGTTAATGACTCTGACGGGCACACTTTTTTTGACATGCAAGAGGGTCTTACCAAATGCAATTCCTCGTCCTATTTCGGTGTCGTGAATTCTGGGCTCAAACATCATTGTGTCTCCTTCCTTCACATGCCCATCCAAGCGAGTCATGAAGATCGTCTCGCTCTTATCTGATATCGAAGAATCTTCTGCCAGTAGTACACG